GCATTCCAGTCGAGATAACCCAAACACCTTACACCGTAATGTATAAAGACAGGTTTAACGATCTCAGTCCCGAGCACTCAGCTTCTTGACTTCGAGAAGGGTCCTCCTGGGATTTAGTGGTAGATCAAGCGGAAACCCTCGATCATATATTTAAAAAAACCTTTTTTGAATTGGTTTCTAAATTCACTGCTGTCACTCCTCCCCATAGCGACGATCTTCGCGATTCTTGATACCGTCTCCCGCATTTCGACCTCATGCGTTCTGTCGACGCTCACGGCGGAACACTCCGAATTTCGCTATCTACTAGTAGTTTGCTCGTATCCCCGTCCCAATCCTTGGCTGAGATCGACGCGTACTGTGGCCGATCGCGTCTGCGTTCCTCTCGTCTGGTCTTTTTGATGCAAAAAGTCTCATCCGGCGTATCAATCCTGCCCTGACGATGTCAGTTCTGAATCCCGTATACAATACCACATGCAGGCCAGTCCTGTCCGACCCGCGTACATGCCCCCCAAGGCTGACATTTATTTCTGCCCTGACGATGTCCGGTTATAATCCGTTATATACGGCCACACACAGGCCAGTCCTGCTCGCTTTTTTCTGGCATTATTGTTATTGAGGTGTTTTTTTCTCCTGTAAAATTAATCCAATCATTTTTAGATTTTTAAGTGGAGTCTCTTTTCACCGCTCGCTCATCATTTTTATTAACGGATTACTAATTCAAAAACTATGAATTTTGTTTTGTACAGATTCTGCCTACCTCGTCTAAAATTCTATCTAAATTTATTTTTACTTGCTTTGATTGGACACCCGCGGGTCACTAAGAAAAATCATGATTATTATAAAATCTGGATGCTCCTAGAATGGAAAACAAAAGTCAAGATGTTTTTCAGAACTTCCGATGCATATATACTCCAGGATGAATCTGGAAAGTGTAAAATTCTGGATGAAATTTTACACGCAGCGGCCACATTTTCAGCCAGCACGCGTACGCTTTCCTATCGTTTTCCGCGTTGCCCATTTCTCCTTTTTGTCGAACATTTAGGTATTCATTGGTTCGCCTCCAGTTAACGTAACTAGCTGTACAGAGCTTGTAGAAGCAGTTGGAATGTGAAAATTTAGTGGCGATTCGCGTTTTAAGAACCCACTTCGAGGGTAACTTTGTTTGTTTTACTGGAATTCGCGTGAGGCTTAACCCCTAAGGTGCGCCTGCGCGGTGTTTCCACACTTTTCAGCATGACCGTGGCGAAGATCACCTCCGCAGAGGTTTGTTTCTGTGTTTAACGCTGCCCGTCGTGGTAAAAGAATTGAGAAACCCTACTGTTTAAAAGGCACCTATGGATTAATCTTAGCCTACTGTTCTATTCGCCTCGCGCCTGTTCTCCAATCGTCAAATGCGCTTCATTACTATTAAGGTCCCTACCGCCACACGTATCCCTCCATCTTTAACGTTACTTCGAAGCCCGCTACGATACCCCTAGCACAAGAATAAAGCAATGGTGTCTGCTGCCATAATGTCCACTCCTATCCATATGTCTCTAACTTCTGCTTGACTTTACTGTTTCTTCTAGGAGTTCAAGGAAAAAATAGCCACTGGTGCGCTGCTTGTCGATTTTTACGCAACATGGTGTGGGCCATGCAAGTTACTCGCCCCAAAGCTGGATAAACTTGCCGGAGATACGAAGGATGTTGTGTTTCTGAAGGTGGATGTGGATGAGTGTGAGGTACCTACAAGTTAAACAGTTGTTTTCCTATATGGGAGTTTCGGATACTGCTATTTGTCCTTTATTCATGTCAGGCCGAATGCCGATGTACATTACCTAAAGGGCACGACAACGAGTAGGTGCCCTGCTGGTGCCTCACTATTGAGGTAGTGATTAACAAATGGAGGCCTTCGTCCCGTTTCATTTCAGTCATAAATGAGCCACAATTTGCTCCTGTTAATTCTCTTTGTCCTCCACAGAATGTCAGTGACCTCAGGCCAGGCTAGATTTGTCTTCGAATTGTTCGTAGCAAATTTTTATGGCGATTTTGCCTTCCTGATCATGTCCTACATGCGTCCTTGTCGTCTAACAGGGGTCCTTTGTGTTTTAGGAACTGGCTCAATCTTACGAAATCACGGCGATGCCCACCATCATAGGATTTAAAAATGGCACAGTCTTAGACAAAGTCGTTGGCGCTAATGAAGAGAAGATTAAGGAACTCTTGAAAAAATTGACTGAATAAGTCTTTGCCTTATTCCAAAGATGAATTTCAACTAGTCTTGTTTTTCTTCCAATTCTCGGGCCTTTAGTTTTTTTTTCACCGGGATTTGAGTAGGCGTCAAGGGCACTATGGTCACCAATGTGCTAATTAGCTGCGGCAAGTATGCAAGTCTCCTGTTCCTCGTCAGCAAGTTGTTTGTTAAGATCCGCCTCGGCTGGCCACAAAGTCCTGTCGGCACCTTCGGTCGTTCACCACCACTTACAAACCGATAACTGTCAGCTGTAACTGTAGCTAGGGGTGTTCTGTGCGTGCTTCTGCCTTTTAGGTTTAAGGGGTGCAGTTGAAGGCACAACATAGGTATTGGGGGGAGGGGGTGGCATTCATCTTCGCACGAGTTGCTGGACCTATAGTCCGCCTGTACATGTAATACCAAACGCCTGCATTCCCTTTTAATGGGAAACATCTGGGCTGATGGCTGCTACAACCAGGAGGACTGCTGTCACCGGTTGGGCCTTGTTTTTCGGTCCAGTTATTGTGCTCACTCCGAATATATGTCGTTCTGCAACATGGGCTCTCGTTGCCGTCACCGATCGCATTGTGACAAGTGTGTTTGAGAGCGCACGTCCGAAGAGGTCCTCTGCACTCTCTACTGTTTGCATTTATGATGCTAACTCGGCGAGACATGTGTGATTGCCTGCCCCGCTGCTCTAGATCGGCTTAACTCTTTACTGTGGCAAAGTCGAGCCCTGCTTTCCCGATGGACTTTTAAGGCCTTTAGAGTACGAGGACGGTTCCAACTGCCCTAGAGCGGGACGCGAGTGAATGTACCAAGTGAGACTCCCTTTGGCTGCTTATCCAAATCTTGTGGGGACCCGTGGGGGCGAGCTTTCACACTCATTCGTAACCAGCGTTAGAACTGAACGTTAGCTACTTGGTCATGCCTCTAACAGTCTTTCCCGACAGACAGTTTCAGTCGTCCTAGAAGAGACTGCTGAATGCCTGTCAATGGATGAACAAACGCCCATTCCAAAATGGAGTCCATAGCTAAGATATTTGTAAATTTAGTAGTACAACCGGTGGAATGTGCACATTCCTGATTGTCGAGATCGGCAGCTGGTGCCGGGACATTATTTCCTTAAAGGGTGTCTCAGTCCAGTTAGTAGACTACGTCATTAACTAGCACGAACAAGCAAGCAAAAAATACTGTTTTAGGCAATTAACTGGTTCCCGGGCCGGGACCAAAGAATACCCATCGGCGAATTTTGCGGGGGGGATCTTGAGTCGCTTCCGGGAGGTTGATAAATGCCAAATCATCTGTTAAATGCGACAGGTGCGCTTACAGCGGTACTCGACTGCGCCTTGTATGCCTACTACTTGGTACGGCAGCGATCATGCCTCATCTAGTCGGTCTCATTGATGTCCCGAACTGTACCTCTTCACGTGTGATATTCCGCGACAGCAGATCTGAACAGTCCAACCCATTCACTTCGCCAGCGACGGAAACCGAGTGCCGAAGATCCAAGAACCACCTCCTTGACGAAGTGTGCCGAGCCAAGTTTTGAGTTGATCCCCTCCACTTAGACGCCTCCAATGGAGTAACGGTGCCGGATCGAGCGCAGTAACACTGACCTCCTGAGGTGAACGACGAAAAACATGCCCAAACCACCTCATTCGCCCTTCTTGGGTGGCCTGAATTATTCATGCGATGTCGCGGCGAGCGCGGACTGTCTCATTTGAGACGAAGTCGGTGTACATCACTCGAAGGATGGTCCTCAGGCAATGGTGGTCAAATACCTCCAGTTTTCGCTCGTCTTCTATGCGCACATTCCAGCACTCACAACCATAAAGGACAGACGCACGGTACATGCGAATCTTAGTGGCGATGGAAAGGTCGCGCGGGATCTACAGGCATTTTCTAAGGCTTGAGAAAGCCCGTCGAGCAGTTTCAATGTGGGAGACAATGTCAGCCTTACTTTGCCCATTCGGCAGCAGCTTCGCTCCGAGGCATTTAAAACTGTCTACTTCAAGTTGACAGCCACCAATCCGGGGGAGATGCCTTTTCCTGGTCAGGGATGCAGCCTGAAAACTAGTCTTCCCAGCTTTTATGGATAAACCGACTGATTTGGCGACCTCGTTCACCTGTGACACCATAAACTGCAGATCACCAAAACTTGAAGCAAGTGAGGTGATGTCCTCGGCATAGTCGAGGTCAGTCCCTCGGTGTCCGGGCGCAAATTCAACGTCGTCACCTTCTTCTAGGGCCCTCCCGATAATCCAGTTAGTAGCGTAGTTAAAATGGGCTACAGGATACAACCCTGTCGAACGCCAGACCGAATATCAAACAGCTGGGAAAAATTGCTGCGGACCAGGACTCGCGCGGTGGTGGAGCCTTGGTCATGGCGATAATATTTGGCGGCACACCATCTACCGCCATTATCCGCCATAGGGACTCACGATGGACGGAATCGAACGCGGCGACAAAGTCAACGAAGCAAATGGCCGTCGGTTTCTGGTAGACATAGCGGAATTCGAGAATGCGCCGCCATAGTGTGAATATCTGGCTCGCGCATCCACGTCCAGCACGAAATCCGGCTTGGTTGGGCCTCGTCCTGGAGTCACGCACAGCCTGGAATCGTCTGAGTAGGACGATTGTCAAGATCCTCGCAGCAACGTCGATGAGGCTTATGTCACGGTAGTTCTCGCATCTCGTCTTATCTCCCTTCTTGAGGATAGGTACAAGGATGCCCAAGCCCCAGTCATCAGGAGCAGCCTCGCTTCTTCACGCTTGTTCAGTCACCTCATGGAGCCTGAGTGTCGGCACAAGACTTGTAGACTTCAATGCGTATACCGTCCTCTCCGGGTGCCATGTTGTTGCGCAGCTTTCGTATGGCATAGGCCACTTCTTCTGAAAGTGGGCCGCATTGCACTGCATAGGTTGGAGCGGGATGAAACTCCGTTGCAGAGAAGAGCAAAGACGAGGTGGATTGGGTATCAAAGTTGAGATGGTGCTCGAGGTGCTCATGCCAACGCTCGACTTTGGCAGAGTTGTCAGCAATAAAGCCGCCATTTGCGTCGCGAAGAGAGTCACTCAGTGCACAGGGCTTATTATTACCTTTGCGGATAAGTTGGTCGAGTTTCCGAGCGTCACGAACTTTCGAGGCCTGTTCCATGGAGGTCGCTATTTCAGCCCAATATTGCTTCTGGTCACCTCTGGCCGACTTTGCCGTCATCCTCCGAAGTTGGCGGAAGGAGTCATCATTACGGGACTTGGCTCGAGTTGTCTGAGCAGACAACTGCAGGGTTCTTCCACTACGGCGTCTCTGGGTATATACAAGACTGGGGTTGTTTGCGTTGGAAATGTGTGTGATAGTTTGTCAGATAGTTAGGATACTAAAAAAAGAAGGTATTTACAGAGAGAGGTGTATCGGAGGTCTGACGTTTCGAGTAGTCGTTTCGTTTACCCATATGCAGAGACTGGGAAGTCATGCACGCAGCTCTCCTTATATGGTGCACTTTGTTTGATGCCTGGCCCGCCAATGCCGCCTGTGTGGCTGCGTTCGACCTGCATGTCAAGAATGTCCGTAAAGCCAGATAGGGGGAAGGGAATTGATGCGGCGGTTGACAGAACTGTCGGTAGACAGCCAGGCTTCTTGTACTTGCCTTGCCGTATGATCATCACCTCGGCCCACAATCTCGACAGCGTGAAAGTTGAAGATGTGTACCATTTGCGCGGCATGGGTTGCTACCCCGGACTTTGGGCCCAACCTTCGCACGGCCAACTTATGCGCGTGTATTCGCCTTTGCAGCCGTCGGCCGGCTTCCCCAACGTAGTTGCACATCCCGCAGCTGCACTCAAGTCGGTAGACAACGGTCGACATCTGCCTAGGGATCGGGTATTTTGGCCGCATCACCTGCCGGCGGATTGCTGAGTCGGGCCTCTGGGCAACGCCTATTCTGAGCGGCGCGAGGGATCTAGCCACTGCTTCGGAGACCCCTTTCATGTACTGAATGCTCCACCACGATTTTGGCTGGTTATGCTCTTCCTTCCGTTCCATTGGTTGCCTTCGGCTCCGTTCAACGAATTTTCGCGGATAACCGTTGGCTGTAAAGTGTTCTTGGAGGAGATTTATCTCGTCTAGTTTAGCGGCTTGCGTGCTGCGTTGAGTTTCCACCCGTCGGTATAGCGTGCGTACACAGCTTCCTTTGTGTAGCAGTGGGTGATTGCTGTTGTAACTGGACATTTGCAGCGTGTTCGTCGGTTTTCTGTAGACTGACGTCGCCAGTTTGCAGTCTGGTTGGCGGCAGACAAGAACGTCCAAGAATGGAAGCTTGTCCTCCACTTCCTCTTCCATCGTGAACTGTAGATCGAGAATGATTGAGTTCGGCAGCTCTTCATAGTAGTTAATTTTATCCTGATCGATGACTACGAAGGTATCATCAACTTAGAGCGCCCAAAACTTGGATTTGTATTCCTCGAACAGTCTTTTCTCGAGTTTTTGCAGAACCGCCTCGGTGATGAGCCGGGAAATTGGTGAACCCATCGGAGTGCCCTTAATTTGCTCATATGTGGTCCCCTCGAAGGTAAAAAGTGTCTTGAGGCAGTGCCCCATGAGTTCTATGAGATCCTGAGCTGTGTGCTGGCCATCGCCCTCATCGTAATTTTGACGTAGCAAGTCACTTAGCGTCACGACCGCAAGTGCCTTTGGCATGGACGTGAAGAGTGAGACGACGTCAAATGACAACATCCTCTCAATCGGTTCGATTGTGACCGCTCTTATTTTGTCAAGGAATCGCTCTGCTAAGTGCACGGTAAAATGCCGATCGGATGCAGCCACGCAGGCGGCATTGACGGACCAGGCATCAAACAAAGTGCACCATATAAGGAGAGCTGTGTGCATGACTTCCCAGTCTCCGACTACTCGAAAAGTCAGACCTCCAATCATCCCTCCCTGTGAATGCCTCCTTTTCTTTTGATATGCCATCAGGGAATCGCATTTTCACGACTATTGATGACCTAGGATATTCTTCCGGTTAATGAGGCTCTAGAGTGCGCGCATTGATTTCTAACATCCTGGATATGCCGACCGTCAAGCTGTCGCATCGGGGGCTGCACGCTCCCGCTGGAGACCATGTTCATTCCCGACTGTAACTAGTATGCGGTAGATCCCGTTTTTCGGACAATTTTTGCGAAAATGCCTACGTTTAAGTGAGAAGAAGGTGAGGAGAAAGAGGACGGATGACTATATTTTGTCTCAGTAGCTTTCGTTGGCCCTAGGACATCAGTTACAACCGCGGCAACCAGCTTAATCAGCACTAGCTGGAGCCTTAGCTTCAAAGACGAGTCCCCCCTAAGGTCTGCATGCGTGGAGGTGGATTTGGTACGCAGTATTTTCTGAAGTCGAGGTTCTCCCTCCGCATAGCTTCCTCCAACTACCGTGTTTGTCACACACTGGAGGCCAGTTGACGTTCGCTCACTTCGACGGGGTTTGGGAATTGTCGATTTGGGTCCTGGCGTTGTCGTCTTGCGCGCTCGACGTTTCGCCTTGACCCCTAACACTGATGCCCGCAGTTTTTGCAGTATTTCGTCAGGATTTCCGGTCCTGTGTGCCTGCTTTCTGCAGGTATCTTTGTCAACTTGCGGGTACCTGAGAGAGGTCTTCAGGTTGCGCCCGTATCGTCCCATTTTTCTACTTAGCCTGCGAGGATTCGTTGCGAAAACAACGTATAAAATTCACACAATGACAGGTGGCACATTCGAGCACTCTCTCTCTCTCTCTCAATCGGCCTACGGTCAGAACGAATCTGTCTGCGTTGTACTACGTGGACAAATGAGGCGAAATCAATGTGTGACATGTGACTAGCATGCGCTTGGGTTTACGTGGGGGCATTTCGGTTGAGAGGGTGCGTTCTTTCATGGGGCACTCTTTACTACGGCCAATTTTATGGGCAACAGCTTCGTTCGAGTACAATGATCAAGTTTAAGATATTGCTACCGGTCGTTTTTACTGCAGTGCTCCAAACCTCTGTGGACTCTGCAGGTTTCTTTGTTGATTTGCTGAAGGTACCTGAGGGAATACTACAGGTTGCGGCCGTATCGTCATATTTGAACGCGCACAAACTTGCCGAAATAAAACTACTTCCGCAGTGGTGCAGGGAGAACAACTGAGCATTTCAGACGCGCAAAAACACCAGGAGTCAAACCGATCGGCTGGCAGCTATAGTGCGCTTCCAGTGCAACACGTGGCCAAAGTAGGTCGAGGCAGGAGCATGGGTGATTTTATTTCGATTGGTGTCACGACTTCAGATTTTCACAATCACAAGTGAAGGGCTTTTTCCACGCCTACCAGGTTCATTGAAGTACAGTAGCCATCCAAGAGTCCACACGAATGACGAAATCCGGGGGGTCAGCAACTCGACTGAGTGCGATCAGCTTGAGAATCGATAATTTTGACCGGCACACAAGGCCATAGCAAGGGCACGGCAACTGCGCACTTCAACACCTGGCCAGTCGAGCCGTGATATACTCGGGAGCTGCCACCTGCGATTGGCATGTAGCGGTCTAGCAACTACATCCTTTAAATGCTAACACCTGGACAATTTACCACGCTTATCTGACTCTGCCTCTGGTGATCGATCCGAGTGAGAATCCGAAACGTCAGGCTAGTAAAGCGCTTGCTCCAGCGATCATGTCCCCTTCTTTGCGACTGGTAGGGGCTGCCACTATAAGGGACCAGCGGTCCCCGTGAGACGGAGCTAAAGAGGGCATGAGGGGAAATCAATTCCACGTCTTGGCCGCTACGTGAATGGTGGCGCGAAGGGCCTGATTGCGTTCACCAAACCACTTTCATCAGGAAACACAAGCATGTACTTTACATAACCTACCCGCGGCTATGTAGCCGTTGAGAATTCCACGAAACGCAACATCGCGTCACAGGTCAACCGCACTCTAGGTGAGGTCATGTGCAAAGCAAAGTTATTCTGCACGCAGACCATAAAGTGTGACCTCTATCTATTGAGATATTTGGCAAACATCAGGATGACCTCCCCTAGCCTAAAGACGATATGCAGCATTACCTGTACCACTCCTCATAGACACGGGCCAATCAAATTCCAGGCGCACACACTGCGGTCGTGGTCAATGGCTAGATGCTGTCGAGAATGTACATGCCCCACTCAGAAACCACGTGGGGCGGGACACAAACACGTGCTCCCCAGTGAGATCGAATGACTATTTTTTGAGAATGCGGACATTCCCAGCAGTAATCAGGCAATTTTTAAACCCCTGACATGATAAATCACGTAACTCACTATATGTAGGTATAGTGGTGAGCTCTGCTTAGCATACAGTGTGCGCCATCTATATTGCAAGACATCGTAAACACGCGAATGACCTCCTTTGGCACAAAAGGCGTGTGAGACTAGCGAGCTTGAAAAAACGCAGGCATGGTCAGATTGCCTCTAGGAAGCCGTAATCTGCCGTAAATTAACAGAAAGGTGTACTTTTTAATCGCATACTCTAGGGTATGTGATTGACACATTTTGCTGACATTAGAAATCATTGAAAGATGCACACTGCTGCGTGTCGACTACACAGCTGCATGAGTATCCACACGATCCGAGAGCCTACCGGATAATTTCATTAATTTCATCGCCTTCGGTGGTTGGTTATTCTGGACTTTTTTTATGAGTGTTTCTCCCTCCAGGCATGGGTCAGAATAGGCTCTGAGCAGATCCAAGCACAAAGTTACTAAGGCAGGCGTATTATTATAATTATTGTCAAGAGAAGGACTTCTTGCTAGACTGGCGATATTGCGGTTCGGTTTTCTCGACAAACAACATCGGGGTCATCCGACCGAATGCCACGAGGCGGTACCTCGCGTTAAGGGGTGGGCTGTGCCTTAGCTGTGCACGGCGTAGGTGCGGGGACGGACTGTTTGACAGTCGAACTGTCGCCGCCACCACTACCCCGTATCGGGTCGGCCGAGGCTGCATCACGTGCCTCACGACGCAACGTGGCCATCGGTCAGGAGGTCAGGCGCAGCGTGAGAACCTTTGATCCGTCGACGATTTCCGCCGACAGGGCGACCGACGAGAGCGCTAGTCACGGATGAGCAATGCTCTGGATGACTCATGCAAGAGGATGATAGCCTCATGGGAGGGGGTGGGGAAGAGTTAGGCCGGCACTGGGTATCCACCCCCATAGCAGATCAGCGTGTTCCTCATTATGACCGTTTTAACCCATTGAACCAATCACGATTGCCTTACAGACATGATCTGGAATGTTGCCAATTGGTGGTTAACTCACTTCTTCTCAGAAGAGAGTCAGAATGTGATGGCTCCCTTCATGGCAATCTCACTGAATTGAGATCCGAGCCGCTCTTGCAGTAGTCTGATGCACCACTGCAGTCTGCGCAAGGATTTGTAAAAATGGACAGCCACCGCACCACTTTACCAAACTCGTCGTTCAGCGAGTGTCCCCCAATGAGATCGGATCATGCCCGCGTGGCGGAGTCAAAAGGGCTACTGTGTTCTGATCTTTATTCCAAAGGAGGCACTTGGTCATTGCATGCAACAGTGCAAACATATGATGGTTGACTCTTCTTGCCCGGGCCTCTCCCATTTGATTGGCCACGAAATTATTGCGTCAGGACTGCCGAATCCGTGTGGGTTCCCGCCAGGTCCCCTGATTAACCTGCAGCCGAGTCTGAACGTTAGCGCTCCACTCCACGACCCTGGCCAACAACAAACACTTGACAAGGATTTTAACCAACAATAACAACACACCACGACGATCCAGAGGGGAGGGATGACTGGGCAGTCATGCCCGCGAACGGTATACCCAGCGGCAGCTCTGCTAACCGAATTCAACATAATTGTCACTAAAAGGCAACAAAATAAAAAACAAATGCAAAGACGGGTCAGGTAGGTAATGAGAGCGTTGAGGCAGGCACGGCGTGCGCACTGCAGTGTGAAAGGGCAAAAAGTGGCGTCGAAGCGAGCGTGAGAACTATCGGGCGCCGAAATTAATCGATATGCAAGTGCGATTATACGCGGCCGTTAGCGGCCTTCGCGACGCCGGCGCAGCCGACCCAACAGCCAATCAAATAACGAACTCGCTGATGACTCATTACCCCCATCGAGTACGCTAGCTCACGGTGAGCTCGCTTGCTATTAGGGCGCCCCTCAATAACACGATACACCAGGTGACTAATGTCCTTTTGCTCACCAATGCAAGTGTTATTTTTTTATTTCTACCATAAACGAAAGTGGCGCAGCATCTCGTGCTTGGCATTGCTTCTCGTGTTTGATGATGATGATGATGATGATGATGATGATGATGATGATGATGATGATGATGATGATGATGATGATGATGATGATGATGATGATGATGATGATGATGATGATGATGACAAGTCATAAAAATCTCGAGGATCACGAATTGCGACAATTCTTTACGTGCCCTTAACGTAAGGATTGATCGAATCTATGACGCCTTTCGCTGTTAAGTGAGAAAGTCCGGTGTTTTACTTACCTAGTAAATAGGAGCTGAATAAAATTTTGCAAAAATCAATATTTGGAAAAACCTCACTTTCAGTTGGTATTGACGGGTTGTCTGGTTTTCATTCAATCGCTTTACGATTAAAGACGCACCGTAAACAATACTTCACCCCCGGACAGATTTCTAAAGCTTATATAATGTGTGATTGTTTGGTAGTAGCGTTGAAAGCTCCGAATTTCCCTGCAGCAAGAAAGCGAGCTTCTATGCACATGTATGCGGCTGCAATTTGCTTGAGCGTTGGTTACTCTGGAACTTCCCTTAGTCTCCCGTCCTCATTTTGAATCATACTCGCAGTGAACTGCGTTTGCCCGTTTATCTGAATGGAGGGGGGCTGTAGCCCTGCACGGCAACCGCCCCCTCCCCTGATTGTACTGGCCGCTCTTTGACGACAGGAATCTGAAAACTTCACACAATGAAACATATACGGGGTTTCCAAAAGGTTCTTTAGCTCGATGTCCCTCGAGAGACTTTGCTTAACGCAATAGAAATCCTTGGAATGCTGATGAACCATTGTCTGGGGCGTTTGATTAGTCAGTATTAAAGGGAACGTCGAGGAGGACAAATTCGAGGAGCTTGATGCTGGTGATCATTCAGATGAACGATTTCATCGCCGGTCTTGACGTTCCTTGAGAGTTTGCTCCTGAGGTACGCAGATTTGCCCACTGTCGTGGGTTGACTTCCATGGATGCTGGTGTGGATTTTTTTTGTATCCTGTTGAGCGCCGATTGACGTATAACCACTCTCTTCGTCCTGCTGATGGTCAGTCTAAATTTGGCATAGCCGAGGGTGAAGGGGCTTACGTTTCTTTGTATGTCCGCTTACGCTGTTCTGTTGGGTGCACAATCACCCCGGACGATAGGCCGTGGATGCTGATCTTGGATACTCTTGAGTGTGCCTGCGTGTGACGGACGTTGAGCAGTTTTCCGTCGTCCGTCCTGTAGTCGATGTCAATTCCTGGCCGTCCCCCCCCCTCCGGTAAGCTTCCATCAGCTTAGCAAAGAACATGAGACTGAATGGGGTTGGGAGGTGAGTGCACAGACCCACGGGCCACAGCGAACGCTTCAGAGATTACACCTTTGTCCATGACGTGAGCTATAATTCCATTGTGAATTCGGTGCACCATTTGTATGAAGTGCTCCGGGCATTGAAATTCCGAAATTATCAGCGGCTGACCAATGAAGGCGGTGTAGAGATTGGCCGTCATCTCCTGAAGCTTATTCTCTAGTTGGCAGACTTCAAAGAGCATGCCTATGGTTCCGCAGCTCCTTTGAAATTCACACTGGCTTGCTGGGAGAAGTCCCCACTTCAAATACGTGTTAAGACGGCTTAAGAGGACACGGACGAAGATCTTCAATGTAACGTTGGGTAGCAAACTGCCACTGGGATTTTCACAGAGTTGTCGGTTTCCTTTGCGCTTGTGTATGTGGACGATGGTGACGACTTCGTAGTTCTGAGAAACTTGTTGTTTCTGATACATCTCTCTGAAAAGTGAATTCAGCTTGTCCCTCAGTTGAGAACCTTCGTACTTGGAGATTACGGCCGGAATTGCGTCTGCTCCAAATGCTCTCCCACTAGTTTTTGAACTGCTTTAGCTGCTTCAGGGAGGGGAGGCGGACGGTCTAAATCAGCGTTGATTTCCGCTTAAGAGAGTCTGCTGATGATCGCCTATCCTTGTTCTCCAACTCGTCAGGGTTAGTCGCTGAGGCGCTGACGACGTTGGCAAATCTGTTACTCCAAAGTGGCCGGTGCAGAGCCATGAGGCTATCACTGAGGCCCTGTGGTAGGTAGGACAGTTGTCTCATTATGTCCTTCCTAATTGCGAAGGTGGCACTGACTTCCCATCCCTCTGCCCTGAGAAGTCCGCTCTAGAAGAAAGTGTATCCGGCAGGCGCCTTCTCCTGTTAACTGTGCTCTGAGAAGCGGGTCACAATGTCCACTTTGTAGCTGGCCGTCCTCCATTTCGTCCGGTTGTCCATCGGACTTTCTAAAACACAACGAGCATTCGGGACGGCTGGAGGCACTCTAACGGCCTGCGGGGTGGTTGTTTTGCACGTCTCCTTTTCAATCGTATCATTTGCGTCCACGCGCCACAGCCAGCTAGGTCTGCCTAGACATCCCAGACGACGGCCGAATTTCAGTCTTGGTTGCAACTTTAGCAGGAAGACGACCCGAGTTACCTCGCGCCGACTATGGGATGCACATAGTCATCTTCGTAGGGGGGTTTTGGCAGTGGGGAGGGGAGTGGCATTGTCGAGTATGAGGGCATACACGGTATGGGACACCCTAACCTGATTTTGTCTGCTGGTGGAAGCGGGGTGTGTCCTTTAAGCAGAACCTAGGGTGTCAGGGTGCCATTGATGGGACCTGGGCTCCAGTTAGAGGCCGTGCGAACCAACTGTGGCAGTTCGCGTCTCCTTGCCCTCCGCCTTTGCCACGCTGCCTTCCTGCCCGCCTCACACTCCTTGTCGATACGCTGCTGGGACACGTGGGGCTCGTCACTTGCCTCGCGAGTGCTCCAGGCCAATCAACGCTGCCTCCCGCCCCCCTCTGATTGGCTGGCGGACGCTGAGATAACGAAAGGCACACACACGCGCTGGGTCTCGGCACCTCGAGGCGGACACAGACAACAGCTGACCTGGAGAGCGCGCTCGCGGCGACTGCCCACAGAGTCTTTGTGTACGCACTTCCAAATCCGTAAAGGTTGTCCAACTCACTCCATCTTCCCTGACTTATGATTGGGAATCTTTGTCTTGTCGACCAGACTACTTTCGCCACAGCCATCGCCCGTACGGGGTTCGTGGAGCGGCTTGTCACTCATACGAGGAGTACCAGCCAGTTTCTGGACAGAGCATTTGTTTAGGGCACCTTTTTCAGCCCCTACCCTGCGAGGGGGAAGAGGCGCCAGCCCTAAATAGGTCTGCCTAGACACCCCAGACGACGGCTGCAACTTTGGTAGGAAGACGACTCGAGTTAGCCCGCACCGCCTATGGGATGCACATAGTCCCCGTCGTAGGGGGATTTTTGGCGGCGGGGAGGGGAGTGGCATTGCCGAGTATGAGGGCATACACGGCAAGGGATACCCTAACCTGGTTTAGTCTGCTGGTCGAAGCGGAGTGTATCCGTTAGGCAGAACCTAGGGAGTCAGGGTGCCCCTGATGGTGCCTGGGCTCCAATTAGAGGCCGTGCGAAGCGACCGTCGCCTCTACGGGACTCATTGAGCGACTTTTCACTCATACGAGGAGTACCACCTAGCAGGAAACGCTGAGCGCACGTATGCCGTTTTTAACTCGCCTCCACACCTCCATTTGGCATACTGCCCCGACCATCATCAATCTACCATAGACCTAGTGTGAAATAAAATTGTCGACCCCGCATCTGGGGGGTTCACAAACGTAACTTCTTCGCGGAACTTACACTCACAGTGGCTACTGTGTTGCAATGGACCTGGTAGACGTGAAAAGAGTCCTTCACTTGTGACCTTAAAAGTTTGAAATCGTGAAATCGATCAGAGCAAAATCACCCGCACACAACGCCTGCTCCTGCCCGGCCTACTTTGGTCACGTGTTGAGCTGGAAGCGCACTAAATCTGTCAGTTGGCTGGTTCAGCGCGGTGATCAGTCTGTCACAGAGAGTAACTCTTGCCTGCTGATTTTGCACGCCAACACTGCGGGAACAGTTCTATTTCGGAAAGTATGTGGGTGTTAGGATTTGGCAACGGTCCTTGTGTGAATTTTAAACCCTCAAAACGTGTGCTCGCAGGCAATGTAGAAAATTGAGAGGCGCAGCCGGCAGCTCAACGAAGAAACCTGCATAAAGTCCCCACAATGACCGGAAATCCTGGCACAATTCAGCAAAAGCTGGGGGCATCAGTGTTAGGGGCCAAGGCGAAGCGTCGAGCGCGCAATACGACAGCGCCACGACCCAAATCGACAATTACCAAACCCCATCATCATGTTCGCATTGTCAACTGCGCGAGCGCGCTTCGTCGATTACCTTCGCATTCATCTCAGTACCAACGCAAGCGACCCTTCCCCTCCTCCTCCTCCTCCTCCTCCTCCTCCTCCTCCTCCTCACTCAAAACACACCACAGTTAACACCCTCACTGAGGCCACCCCTCCAGGCTGTCTCTATTATAACACCACAGTTTAGGCCCGCTTCGAGTGAGTGTTCGTTCTGCGTCAAGCCTTTTCACGAATGCCTCACTCACAATGACTGCCTTACCGGAGTTTTTCCGACAGACGCGAAAAGTACTTCTGCTTTTGATTTGAAAAGTACAGGAAACCTTGGAAACGGTGAAAACAAAGTGGCTAGTGCGAAACTCTTCTGCCTAGGCCTACTTCGACCACGTGCTGCGCTGTAGGCACAGGAATTCCGACAGCTGATTGGTCCAACGAGGTAATTGTTACAGAGAGAAAGAGGCCCTAGTTTCTGACAACTTTGCACTCTCGTGCTGCGCGAATGTGTCCCCCCCGACCTCAACGGACTTTTCGATGGTGACGTCGCTATGCCATAGCTAAGCAAACCATGTCCATCGCAGCCTGGTATGCGCTGGCAGTTCTCTGACACATGGTTCCCCTACCGGCAGGTGTGGTTGAGCTGCCGCTGAATATACAGGTCGCGATCAAGGCTGCCCAGTCATCCCCCTCCCCTGGCTCGTCGTAGTGTTGTTGTTATTGTTGGTTAAAATCCTAGTCAAGTGTTTGTTGTGGGCCAGGGGGCGTGGAGGGGAGCGCTAAGGTTCAGACTCGGCTGCAGGTTAATCATGGGACCTGGAAGTAACCCACACGGAATCGGCAGTCCTGACGCAATAATTTCGTGGCCAAGCAAATTGGTGAGGTCCGGACAGAAAGATGTAACCGTC